GCACAGTACGTCACGATGTACCAGAACAGAGTGATTCCCAGCACACAGAACTGTGTCTGTCTTCCTGCCTTAGTTGGGAGATGGTTTCATCTCTGAACTCTCGGGAGGATCCGATCTGGAGAGCAAAAGTGTTGGTGTAAACAGTAATACGTGCATTCGAAGAAAGAGAAGCTTCGCGAGCGTGCTGAAGGGTAAAACAACGTGGTAGCTGATGATGAAGGCAAATACGCTCTCAAAACTACATTGGTGGGCTCTGAGATGTCTTGCCGCAGTTGTAGTCATCCACTCCACAGCATAGCTGACCATCCCAGTTGCCAACAACTTGACCTAACGTGTTGTAAGATAAATGAAGGGCTGTACAGTCCTGTTGTTAACGTACCTAAGTCAATCGTGCTAGCCATAGCCTGGCTGCCAGCTTTTCCACACTGACATTCATACTTGGTTGGGAACTCTGTCGATCTATCAAGCGAGCACGAAGTGCACGACTTGTCAAATTCACCCCTATCACGGAGTAAGAAGATGGCCGGCTCGCATGCAAATCGCCTCTTACCCGTTTCCCTGTTTCAATTGACCACCATCATTCCAGAGACATTGACCAAGGTCCAACGATGACCAAACAGGGGCCGAGATTGTACTGTTGCAGACTGCTGCAATCACATTGGCACTCGGGCCCATTATGTACCACGAACCGCAGGTTTTTTGGAAGTTCGCTGCCTTCCAGCCAGAGCCTGGAAGCTGGGACGACAGGCTTACGGTGAAGAAGCCGAACTGCACCAAGAAGGATTTAGAATACATTATGAGGCTTGACTGTGCCATGACAGAATGAAAAGAAGATACGCGCAGTATTTAAGGAATCTTGAAGCCGTTATCGGCTTTAAAATTCCTTAAATGATTAGAACTTTGCCTTATGACTTGCGTGTCACGTCACTTACACCCTGGGCAAAAGACAGCTCGTTGTGACTCCACACTTGCTTAGCTGTGTATTGTCCAAAAGTGCTTTATGGCACTGTACGTATGCTGCGACCGTCTCGAGTACTGAGAATCCCCGCAAGAACAGTCTAGTACGTCTTAGCTACAGTACAGTACAGTATCTTGTATTGAGCGCGACATGACGCCTAATGACAGAGGTCTCACTTCCGGCTGGCCGTTGGCTAATCGAGATGTCGTGTCAGTCTTCAGGTTCTTTTGACGTCGTTAGCGACTGGGTTTCTTCTATGTCGCCTCACACCGAAAGCCCTCCACCTTCTACATACAGTATAGTAGACCGCGTCCAAGACATACAGTATCGGCTCTGCACATAGATCCAAATCAACACGCCGGCATGGACAATAAGTCAATCCGGGGCTATTTCTGCCTCTGTGGTAATCTCTTTTCGTTCGACGGGCGATTCTGGCTCCTGGATGCTGTGACGTATCGTGACCCCCGCAGGCTTTTCATGCAGCTCCACCTCGTTCTTGGCTAGGATCGTTTCCAATGCTCCAACGCTGTGGAGATGCCGCTCTGGGCCACCGGTCTAGATCTCCTGGCGTTCCAGCCACTCCACTTACCGACATCTGGAATTGTCGGTACGTATCTGCGGGACAGGCCGAGCCACAACCAGATGTTGGTCGAGAATGGTGGCCGAAGCACGAATCAATCCTCAACTCCATTTCTGGCGTTGCGTCCAAATGAGCTCCAATTCGTAACCAACATGACAGGCCGAGCCACAACCAGATGTTGGTCCAGAATGGTGGCCGAAGCACGAATCAATCCCCAACTCCATTTCTGGATCAGTGTGCGTTGTGCGCGTTGCGTCCAAATGAGCTCCAGTTCGCAACCAACATGACTTGCGGCCACAACGGCCGATTGTTCTCCCAACTGCGTTGACTACTTAGGACATCCCCAATCAACAGTTGCAAGTAGTTTCCAGAATGAGTCCTGCCCCATAGCCGCGCTCGTTGTCGCTTCTGCCCTGCCCCTCTCACGGTGCCCTTCTTCTTATTTTCGCCTTCGACGATGTATCATCCTCAAACAGGGAGGGTTCCGCCTAGAGTGTCGCGCCAGATACCTCGCCAGACTCCGTACTTGCTGCGCAATGCGCGCATGCCCTACAAAAGTGGCTACCAACAAGCTGCTGGTGGCGATGTGAGAGCACAGAGACAAGGTCCGGTCACGTCCGCGGCGCAAGGCAAAAACAGCCCCAACAGCAGTTCCATCAACCCCCAAATGCTGTCAGCGTCCTCCATGTCAGGAAACCCTACCTGCCCCAAATGCTCCATGCTTACCGAATCCTTCCAGAACAAGCTCTCGAAAAGTCTCTGAGACGCAAGAAGACAATCCTGAACTGAGGTATCTCCATTCGCGAGCCATGTGCATGTTCATGTTCATGTTGAACCCGCTCGCCCATGTCTAAACGCGGCTTAGGACCTACATCTCCGACGGGTTCGGCGCCATCCAACAGGCCCTATTCGACCTCACCGAACAGTATGTCTACTTGCAAAGCTGTTGCTGTTGGCGATGTATGGTAACGTTTGACATGTTTTTAGAATCGGCCATTTGTCTGCTAGGATGGAAGACTACCTCAAGATACTCGAGTCAGCCGGAGCATCAGTTGTGCCGGAGGGCTTGGAGACGGACGACCTGGACCTGGGAGACATGGCCAATCTCGTCAACTATTAGCCACGAGACACAATCAGGCCGAGCTTATGGGGACGGGGACATCTGCCATACGACCGGATCCAGGCACCTGTCCATGTCGATAAATGAAAATGGAGACGAGGATCGACCTACCATGTGCACATGCCCCTCCATACGCAAAGCCAGGGCATTTTGGACGCCGAGCCTGCTGGCGATGGGGCCTCCATGTAACCGCAGACACGCAACGGGATGCTGATTCTCGGTGACCGTGTAGCAAGGATCTTGCAGCATTGACACGGTAGCAATGTGATAGATTGAATTGATATGTCTGTGTTGCTCGTCATCGGCCCACCAAATCTGATTCATCACGTTCGCCACGTGCTCCCAAGGACGGTGTACGGGTATATAAGCAGGACGTGGTCGACAACGACCAGCAGTCCCTCAACACCTCGTCACCATACCTCTTTGTCGTTTCACACCATACTTTCCATCAGTACGACAACGGTCATGCTGGACAGACTTCCACCTGAGCTTGTTCTCATGATATTCGGGGCTTGTGGTGATCGCCACACGCAGGTGCAGCTCTCGTCATGCCTCCGCACGCTTCGACATGCCTTAATACCGCGAATTTACCTGCGGAATGTTCAATCGGAGGGCTGCTCCGCTGCGTTGTGGGCAGTTCTCCGCTGTCACAGGCACGATTCGGCTCTACGTATAATCGAAGCATCGGTTCGTGCCGGAATGGACGTCTGGGCCTTGCAGTTCAGCGTCACTGTGAAAGACATCTTCCCCCAGCGATACATATCGAGGATACCACGACAACTGCACCTGTCGGCTGCCAGGCTTTCACTGTTTGCCACCGCTGTCCTCAGGCGGAAAGACAGACTTGTCATGTCTCTTCTTGACGCACAAGCCCCGCAGGGCTGCACAGGAAAAGGTTGCTTGCTTCAGAAATCACGACGTATCTGGACAGACTGACGAGAGACCGATCACGCTCCGGGAGTCATCCCACTGCTCTCCACGTGGCCTCGGCCACTGGTCTTGATGAGGTTGTCAAGCGGATGCTCAAGGAGACGCCAGCAGAGGTGGCTTCGCTGGACGCGCATGGCCGCACACCACTCTGCTACGCAATACGGTGTCCGCTTACGCCGAATTCAACCATCAAACTACTTCTTAACAACAACGCCGACGCAAACGTGAAGATCGCGTCGAACGGAAGCATGGTCTCACTCTTGACGTACTGTTGCAGGGAGGGTCTCTTTGCTTTTGCCTCAAGTCTCCTCGAACGTGGGGGTAGAGACGACCTACAACAGCTCCTCCGACTGACTCTCCTGGCTTCGTCAACGTCGCTTCAGGGAAGGACGAGGTCACAGAAGAAGGTCTTGATCGAGAAACTGGTCGAATGTGGAGCCAATCCGAACGGTATGGTGCGGGCACTGGACGCAGAAATGGTCGAGAGGCCCCTTCTCTTGGATGTAGCATTGACGTCGGCTTCCGCAACAAAACACCTCCTCGCCGTCGCAGACGTAGATGTCAACATTCAGGATTCTTCCGGGCGGACAGCTCTGAGTTGGCTATTGTTGCAGAATCACGGGGATCACAAGACGGTTGCATTGCTCCTGAAGTGCGGGGCGATGCTGCAGCCGCATTCACTTGACTGGATCATACAAAACACAACGTTCTCGTCGCTGCAGGGGCTCATGATGATGCTGTCACGAAATGATCACGCCTTCAGCCTGTTTCGACTCATTTACCATCACTGCGTCTCGCATACGGAAAGGAACGATGTGATGATGTCGTTCTTGGCATCAGTTGCCCCACAGTCCGCAGCACTGGCACGAATGTCTGACGGGGACATCAGCGACATTCGAAGGGGAAACATTGGGCTCTTGCTGTCCTATCTTGAGTTTGGACAACTGCCTCTAGGCCATGTCTCCTGAGACGAGGGAGAGGGAACGTCGTATTTGCCGTGGGGTCATCCACAGAATCACAACATACAACGAGATCAGGGTTAGGCTCATCAGTAGCAGCAAGAAGGCTTTCTTCGTAGTTCGGGGAGAGAATAACTAGCAGTTTTGGTTATTATTATATCTTTTAGACGAAAGAAGAGAACCAGATGCCACCGGATCTATGTGCGACGTAAAATCACCATCGCTTACTGGTAGGACACAAGCACCAGCTGCATCACATGCCATTTCAGGTGGCCAAGTCGAACACCAGATTTCACTATGCGATTGTGTGGAGGGACCGAATCCCTTTTCCGTCATGGTAAGATACCACTGAGCCAGAGGAAGACACATCTGATGCTCGCTGCTGCCCGTCGCCAAATGCGAAGCCTTGTCAGCATCAAAGGAGCACGGCCACTTCGCAGCGGGTTTTCCATTTCAGGACAGACGACGGCGCTTCCTTGGCGGCTGCATGTCGCTGTTCGCTGGCTGTTCATCTTCGTGCGCGACACGCTCAGTCCTCGCCGGGCTCCTCCCAGCCTCCAACACCGCTAGCGCTACCTCATCCGCCACCTCGCCAAGCTTCTGATGACCATCAAAGTCTCTTTTCCATGCTGTTGGCCTGTCTGGCCTCATTTCGCCCGCCTGCGCGTTGACTGATGTCTCCCAAGCCGCTGCCGCGTTTCGGAATCGGCGACGACGTCTATTCGGCCTCACAGCGACCGACTTCATTACCTTATCGCGGCCGCCCTTGGCAATCCAATAGTCCTCCACAATTGCCCGCGCGACACGCATCATGCGACTTTCAGGCTCCCACGATCGTTCAGGAGACCCGATCCAAGAAATGTATAGGCATACATTGCCATGAGACGTTTGCTTATGCTTCTCAACCTCAAGAACGTGCCATAGGTTCTTGTCGGCCATGGCACCTATGCGCTTGCCCTTCTCCCCATCCCA